ACAATAGAAAGCACCCCATCTGTGTCCTGATGCATAAGGTCCATTATGATAAACCTCTTCCGGTCCTGTAGCCCTCTTTCTACTTGTCCCTCTTTCACTGCTTTCCCCCTATCAGTCCACAGAGTCCAACACTCACTCACCTTGGTAGCATGCTTGCTATCGCCCAAACCTTTTCTCTCACTTATCTTCCCTCCTCCCAGGTTCATGTCTATGTCCGGGACATAGTCCTCATCCTTCTCGTCATCCGACGTATACTTCCGGTGCATCTCCCAGTGTCCAGACGACAAGTTCCCAATTACATCCCCTCTCAATTCCATCTCCCTCACCAAACCCTCCATCTCCATCTCCATCTCCATACCATCGTCGGCACGTATGTCGAGTCCGGCAAACTGTCCTCAAAGAAAATTCCCGCCGAATTACCTTTGTCCACCTTACATCCCTCACAACCTACCATCACCAACATCATCCTTATCACCACCTTCAACTCTGAAATCGATCTCGCTCCTGCCACATTAACATGGGCATGAAGCCCATCATCACTCACCAACCTCCCACATTCCTCCTCGTGCACAAATTCCAATCCAATACCTGCCGGTACCATATAGGAGGTGACTATCATCCTCCTAAGCAATACCTGATTCCCATCGCTCTTCATCCCTATCCTTGCCATCCTTCTATTCCCTCAAGCTTTAAAATGAAGCTATTCAGAATTCTCACGATAATCAGCCCATCCAATTAAAAATTTTCACTCACAAATCAAAATATGCCACAACCAGACTCCGGTCCAAATCAAAATAATTCGTACAGTCACAACAAGGAGGTTTTGCCAATTGAAGATTGGGAAATCAAAAATAGAGAGCTGCTTGGCAAGTAGTTGAAATCTGATCTCAGCCGCAGTCTTGTCATGAGAAAACTCTTTCTTAGGTACTACAATTACTTGAGCCGTGCTGAGACATACACAGCAGTTGCTAGGGTTATTTTTATTTTGGACCACCGTTGTTCAGGATAAGTTAACTCTGGTACCAATCCCGGAACAGAATTTTTGTTATCAACACATCAGCATGTGGCGGGTTGTCACAGTGACAACGGAAAACGGGGGTCTTGGCACTCGAATTCTCTTAGCAAAACCTCCCTATCCTGCAACTGCAGACCTGTACGAGTACTAGTACCGGTACGAGTACTCAAGTAAGCTGCCGGTATCATAAATACAATACTATTATTCATGCCAGCCCTAACCCGCTCATTATCCACCCTTAAGGTTCAGTGGATCGAGTCCAGGGAGCACGAAGGGGCGATGTAGAGTAGTAAACTGTTTACCAAAAACTTTCAATACCATGGAACCATGATAACTGAATCGTAATCGACTCAGCGCAAAGTTGTAATTCGATATCTAACCTAACAGTGCCGTTGTATTCGTCCAGTCGCCGCACATTACATCCTGCAAAAAACATATATGCCCAATCGAGCTATCATAAGATATCTACCCACCCTAAATTTACTTGCCCTCCGGTCCAGTATACAGTATACAAAAAACCAACAATAAGCGTTCCTCGTAAAAGACATATCTAGAGCGAAAGCCAAAATTGAAACACCACCCATGCCCCAACTCCACAATGAAATAGCTCACCATCTCGGGTCATTCATTTATTCATTTCCTCCAAGGCAACTTCCAGCCCTTCCATCCTCCAACCCTCCAGTAATAAACCGGTATCCCAGCCACCACAAAGGCAACCACCACAAGTGACTGCAGAGGGCTACTAAACACCCCTCGGGATATCAGGAATAGGCTGACACAACAGAAAATTATGGGAGTGGTAATCCAGGTTCTGTATGGCCTTTCAAGGCTTGGCTCCTTGACGCGCAGAACTATTAGGCCGAGGACTGTAAGGAAATAGAAAGTATACCCGGCTACCCCATAGAATGTGAGCAGTGTTCCAAATTCGCCAACAGAAATGTAAAGTGCCGTAAGAAAGGAATTCAGTAGCATAGCATATATCGGAGTTTTGTTCCATGACTGGACACTCGGTTCACCGTTGGAGGCACCGCGTCCGAAAATCGAAAGGATGCGTTCCAAGATCGATCTCTTGTTAGTCCCCACAGAGCGTCGGCTAGACTCGCTGTCTCTGCCGCGAAAGCCTAACGTGCCGAAGATGGCGGGAAGGTAGCCTTCTTTACCCGCAACATAGACAAGGCGGCCGGAGGTAAAGGTGGCAGCATTGAGAGCACCAAAACAGGAAAGGGATACGGCCAGGGCAAAAACAACACCACCAGCTGTGCCAAATACCTTGGTACCAAATGCCTACCGGTATTCTTCGTTAATCCAACCCCACCAAGATCTAAGAGGGCACACATACCACAGCGATTGTATTGCTTCTCCCAATCACTTCCCCCGGAAGCACCAAATAGTATGCCACGTTCGCAAGGAGATACGACGCAATCACAACAGGCATGGCACTGTGGATCACCCGGGGGAGATCTCGTTGGGCATTCTTCATTTCCCCCACAACAAAATTGACCTATCGCAGTAATCAGCGTGCGTCAAGGCGGACGGCCAGGTGTCAAACAAACATTATCCCATCCATCAAAGGCCCACAATCCTGCATACAAGGCGATTGCATATTCCCCTAGCCCGCCAACCGTAGACTCACTTTCCCGCCCTGATACACCCCCTTTTCTACTATCGAACCACCCTCTGTCCTTCCATTCAGTGGTAGCTCCCTTCCCGTCCCCGTTCAACCCCGTCGCTGCAACGACGATACCGATGACCGTGATAGCCAGTAAGCTCCCCACCTTCAAAAACAGCAGTGAATCAGATAATCGGGTGGTGAGTCTCGTCGAAAGCATATTCAGTGCTGTAACCAAGGACAAACACAAAAAGGCTGCTAGTTTGATTGCCCATTCCGAGGGGAGCACTGCATCGGCGTCTGCTGTAAATGACCCCGTGATAACCCTATTAATGTACTCTCCCGATATGATGGCGACAATAGCTGCGCCCCCTGGTTTCAATACAATGACCGCCGTCCATGAATACAAAAACCCAATCAACTCCCCGAAACAATGCCGTAGATACACACCGCTCCCACCATTCAAAGGGATAGCGCCACCCAACTCAGCATAGCTCGCAGCACCCGTCCACGCCAATAACCCGGCAACAGCCCAGACTATCAGACTCACTCCCGGAGAGGGTGTATGGTTGTTGACCTGGCTAGGTGAGGAGAATATGCCAGAGCCTATCTGCAGGCCAACCAGTAACGATAATCCGTTGAGGTAGGTGAGAGTTTTTTGCTTCTCTAATGTACCCACAGGATTCGAGCCAGGAGTGTTGGTCACGCCTAGTTGCTGATATCGGGTTTCCGCCGATGAGGTAAGGGGCACTAAATGGGTATTGAAGTCAAAAGCAGAGGACACGGAATAGGAGCGGTAAGCACGTGGCCGACCAGGTTCAACATCCTCATCGCCAGAAGCAAGCGACAGTCGACGGGAGGACGAGATTCCAGAGCGGGAGGATGTCGAGGAACGCGGTGACGCAGAAGCTGACGATGAGACCAGCGAGTCCAGTTCAAGTGAATCCCTAGTCGGAGTCGGTTCGTAACCTACGTGGGTCATTGCAGCAGGGCCCAGGAAGAATGGAAAATATTAGGTTTGAGGATCGACCACTTCAAAGAGCTTGGCTTTGTGTGTAGATGATGGATGATGAGCCGGATCACCTCCGTACCACTGCATAAACGAGAGGATTGGTACGGTGGCAGATAAGAAGTCGAAGGAGAGAAAAAAAGGCGAGACGGAGAGGGACGGTTGAGTGTTTGAGGTCGATTGTTGGCGGCTCCCAGTCGAACACCGAACACTATGCCGCATAAAGACGCCTTGGGCGATCGTGTATGCATAACTCACAGCATGCAGGCATCCACTACCCGTGCTCGAGTAATCCCCTCTAAATCACGACTACTGCATCACTCGCTTTCTCGATTAAATTTTTACTTGTACAGTACTGTACACTCCTCCAGAAACCTGACTTTCGCAGGTCAGCCCTCTGCTCAATGAAATCTCACTGCACAATGCATGACACCAACAATGTATAACAAGATCTTGGTGCACCAGATATTGTCCGGTATCTTTGGACCCGCCATGCTTGCTGCCGGATCAAACCAAAAGTGCTTCATAGCCAAAACAGTACCGTATCTCGCCATCGGGCGTAGGCGGGGGTTTAACCCTCAAACATGAAGCTTGAAGAAATAAGCTTCTTTTTTGAGCCGCCACAAACACCCCAGGGTGCCTGATAATACAGTGTAACTACACTAGGACTGACCAGGGAATACAGATAATGCAGCCCTCCAAAGTCCCCCAAAACCCCTCCAAGAACCAAAGTGCCCATGGAAGCGCCCCCCCGCAGCCCCACCCCCACTCTTCTTGCCGCCAGCTGAACAGGTTGTGATAAAATATCACAAGTCCCTAGAGGTATCCGAAAGCAGTTATCCAAAAGGTTCCCTTGCTGCTACTGTGATGCTAGTAGTGAGCGCCCGGTATGCATTACGCGGCCTAAAAATTGGGAAGCCCCAAAAGCCCTATTGCGAGTAAGGGACGCCACCTACAGCATCTATCTACTCGAGTACCATACCTGGGAAATGCCGTATGATGCTATTCTGAGTGTTCGGAAATGGAACCGGTCTTGTTAGGGTCAAGTACCGGTATGTCAGCGCTGCCGATACTATACCCTGACACAAGGACTGGCTTAGTGCTCCGACGTCCCGGGGGACGGCATTCTCCTATTAACTTTTATGCTGAGTGATGTACTACGAGTAGTACAGTACGAGTACAAGTACTGTACCTGGCACTTCATTGGGGGGGGGGGTATACTTGTATTGTGGTCGCGCCTCTGTTGGCGTAGCGGGCAGGAAAACGAAACCAAGAGTCGCTCTCGGTGGTGGTGAGAGGATATTAAATAGTACTCGCAGGAGGAGGGGGGCCGGATCGGGCTATGGCACGCTAGGGGAATTAATCACGGAGGCTGAAGCCCTATGAACCTCCTGCACCGGATACTCAAATATGATATGATGCCACTAACTTTTTGCGGGGTAACTCCACCATCTGGAACCTTGTTGATCAGGTGAACTTAGATACAGTAAAAATAATAATCCAGAGATCATTATTACTGTAAATCAGTTGAAACATGGCCTGATGTAGGTCTGAGGGAGGAGGATCCTCTTCTTTTCAACTTTGCTCGGATTAGACTACCAGGGGCCTTTAAATATAGAGGTACGCGGCTGCGCCCATGCCAGAGCAAACAATACCGGTATACGGTAGAAACATGAATAACCGAAACGTGTGCTATCTGCTACTATACTGTATCATGTGTGGTCAAGAATTCCCTTCTCTGGAAAATGGGTGCAAGAAAGGAGGCTGCCAGACCTTGCAGGGAGAGGAAAGCTCAACGACATAGCACACGGTTCAAAATTTTGTGGTACTGTGTACAGTACTCGTACTATTATCAAAGATTGAAGCCATAGGATCGGGAGTCAGCACCTACCGGGTGCCAGGACTCCAGTTAGGAAAATTATCTTCAAGGTTAGTCTAACCGTTCCATAAAAAAAAAAACAGTGCCGGTACAACAGGTTGTATTAGCAAGTCTTGTGCTGGGGCTAGCGAAATCAGTTCCACTTTCCTCGCTCGAACTAATGTTAGCTTTAATAACAGGCGGATAAAAGCCCGAAATAAGGATTTGACTTAATACTGAGAAGAGATCTCTGAAGATTCCGGGCTTATTGAAGCGCCCTCCCGTACGGGTATCGACGTACCGTATTTGATATGCAAATCCTCAACTTACTTTTGCGAGGGATGACAGCTTGGAGCTGTTTACCCTAAAGCATCTTCTTAGTTTACTTGAGTAGGGTGCTCGCGCGCTGCTGTTCTACTCGGTGGAATCGCACCTGCGTAAGTTCTTGCGTCAAACAGGCAAGGAGAATCACCAAATTGGTCACGAATAACCCGTGCCCCTTTCTGATACCCACGACGAAACTACCTGTAGACGATTTCCCTCTTTGCCGACCAAATGCCCTTCCTTGTTCCTCATTCGCCCAGTTTCGCCGTGGGTATCGTGAAGACTTTACGTGTACGGTATCGTATTTGGTGGGCAGAAAGGGCCATGGTCAAAGTATCATACCTGTAACTTGCCCGAGTAGGGTGGCAAGAAAATTACCCGTACTCGTTACTGATCCCTGTTCGTATCCCGCCCACTTTCGCTATTGGTAAGATTGAATACCGTTATGCGTCGAACTTTGCCCAACCATTGTCTTTCTTTATTCTGTTTCCTCTCCTTACGGAACGGGTTTCGTGTCGGACGATTCAGTTGGGGTGGGTCAAGCTTGGGTAAGAGCATGATACTGCATATGGCGCGGCATTGTTGCTGGGACTTAGTTCTCAAGCTGTGCGACGGGTTTCTTAGGCGTCGAAAGAAATTCTGGCTATGGGAGAAAAGTGCACACATGCCTCTATGGCCAAGGGGTAAGGCGCAGCACTTGTATTTCCATCGGGATCGCAATGCTGAGATCATGAGTTCAAATCTCATTGGAGGCATTTCTTTTTTGCACCCTTTTTTCCCTCCTGCATTCCTGCAACAAAGGTCTTGGCGCCAGAGAACAACTCAGCGAAGAGTTCTACTCGGCTATACAAAACAAAACACATGGATCTTCTCTTCCTGATGCACGGGTATGTGAGAAACGCGCTTGGATATACACCCACCATGTACCATGATGAAGAAGCTGGAAAATACCTCATTTTCTGCGTTGCCCTTTCTACCATCTCTGTCACCATCTCTTCTTTCCCATAACCTTAGTTTAAAGGAATCATTGTGGAAAAGGGCACAGTGCCACCAATTCATTCTATCGCAGCAAGTAGAGTCACCAAAGTGCATCCCGACATCCAATCATAATATTATTATTATTCTTCACGCTTTTATTATTTTTATCAGATCCTTTCGCCTGACATTTCTTTCGCGCTTCCCGATCAGACCTACTCCACTCGAGTAGGCTACCTGCAGGTTAGCTGTCCTGTCTTATCACAGCTCGCTTTCACTTAGACTATTTCTTTCCCTCTCTCTTATTGCGGTATCTCTCTCAATCGCTCACCCTCCTGCTCTTGTCGTCCATCTCCTTGTCCGTTGTCCGTTGTTTAGCCAATAGTCTGTCAGGTTTCGCATTGACTTATCTTGCCTACCACTCTTGGAGAGCCCCAGTCATCAGCGTATCGTCATCACTTGGTTGCAGATCCACACACTGTCGACCACGCAACACTCCCACAGAGTCCCACCACCACCACCACCATTAATCACTTCCAACACCCTCTTCCCCTCCCAGATTGTTCACTCTCGACAACAACTACAACCGCTCTTCAACATTAATTTTAATTTTAATTTTTCCTTCTAATCCTTCTTCCTTCATATTTGTTTGAATTTACTTTACTTGGCATAGCATTTTCGTCTACCGCATCCAGTATATTATTACTAGGCTTTTCCTTGGTTTTTTCTTTCTAGAAACTGCTCTTTTTACCCCCTTAACTTTACTTTGAGAGTCTTGTGACAGCAACAATTCTACTGCAGATTGTTGATGCTCTAGCTAGTCACTTGCGTTCAGTTAAACGATTTACCCCCCCCCCCCCCCCACACACACTACGAAACTGCGAATACGATAGGGCCACCATGACTTCTCCACCCCCTTCTAGTGGCCGGCCATCGCTAACCCCGCTCTCCACATTCTGCCCCCGCCGGGCGACGTTATCCGAAAATTCATACGCTCCGCCAACCTCATCACCGTTGTCACCTCATTCTGCGTCACTTTCGCCATTGGAAACTTCAGTGGCTACCACAAACTCGCATTACTATCGACCGCCTCGCTCTAGCCTGACGTCGCCGACTCGCTCCAATATCTCTTCACCAACCCACTCACCAACTCGCACTTCCCGGCAATCTCGGATACGATCGCTCCTGGCTACAGATCCATTGCTCTCCCATCTGACTCCCGTCACGATAACCCACCTATCCACTTCCGGAGCCTTTGATTTTGAGCCGGGAGAGAAGGAATGGTCTCTACGTGCCGTTGAAGGTACAATCAAGGTCAACGAATGGTTGCGCGAACTAGAGGGTTGGAACCGAGAATGGCGGCGGTCCTACCGGGGGAACAAAGATGCCGGAGATGGGTACCTACCCCCCACGGATAGGCCTAAAAAGCGACGGAAGACGGGCATGGGCAGTATCCGGGAGGAAGAGGAAGACGCTTTGCTGGATGGTCCGAGGTCTGTTCGGCGGAGACTCTTTTCCGAGGATAGTAGCACTGGCAGGAATGGCGGCGTGATTGCCAAGGATGATACACCCAAGATTGAGGCTGTGGAAACTCCGAAACCTCAGGCGGATTCACCGGGTCCCGGGCGGGGTGGAAAACCGCTGACACCATACCAATTAAAGGTGCAGCGGCAGAAAGCCGCGGAGGCGGAAAAGTATTTGATGCCAGTTAATGGGACATCAGAGCCGTATCAGACCCCGGTCAAACCCGCAGAGAAGATCGATGTGAAAGAGAAGGAGGAGGAAGAAGAGGAGGGGGACGGTCAAGATGACGAACTCGAGGAGGGCGTAGAGTACTGGGGGAGCTTGAAGCGATCTGTAGTGGAGGGCTATGAAGCCCGGATAGAAGCCATAAAGTCCGAAATTGAAGAATTGGACGTTGATGGCCTTAAGGACAGGGTTTTGTGTAAGAATAGCTCTTCACTCCCTCTCTGGCTCACAGGGTGCTAACTGTAGGCATTATTTTCAGCATATCGTACCGGCACAGCTAATCCATTGACTGACTCTTCTGCTATAATGGCTGCTACAACTCTTCAACTGCTCCCACCACTCTCACGTCTGACAAAGTTTCTTTCGATCTGGGCTGTTCGTATCGGCGTCCTTCGCGTTGTGCCCGTTTTCCTACGTTGGCTTCAGATTGCCAAGGATGCTCTCGGGGCGGGTTATATTGCTATCAACCACCCTTCCATCAACCCCGAGTCCAGTTCGGTGGATAGAGACTGGCGTGGCTTGGAAGAGGAAAGCTACACACTCATGCAAGAAACAATTACGCAAAAGGTGGCTACGGCTGGTAGATTGATGGATACCATGTTGGACGCTTTGGAAGGCCGTGAAGACGTGTTGCCAGAAAGGTGGATAGCCGAGCTAGAAGATGTGGAGGAAGGTGTTGGCCGTTGGGAGATGGATGGAGAAAGAGTTGTCCTAGAAGGTCGTCTGCGTCTTGAGGAAATGAGAATGCGCCAGAGTCGTCAAGAGGAGGAGGCTCGCGAGAGGGAGAAGACTTTGCTCGTTTTGGAGCAGGAGAGGAGTGCACAGGAAGCAAGGGCAGAGGAGGGGGCGGCAATGGACGTTATGGAGAAGGCCGAAGAGACGGATAGGCAACTGCGGGAGGCTCTTGAGACGAATGACATCGTCGCCGAAGCTATTGAGTTACCGGATGATGATGAGAATGACTGGATTGAACCTGGTAGGGACTGGGAGGGTCTTGAAGAGTTATTTTCAAAGTTGGAAGATGTCGAAAAGGAGAGACCGCTACCGGAAGAGGATGAAGAAAGAGGGAGAAGGACGGAGAGGGACGGGGGCATCGGCACGGCACCTTCACTACACGGCGTGGGTAACCACCGAGATCCCTCGGAACCACCCGCTACTAGCGAGCCATTAGTGGTTGGGGAGGATCAGAATGAGTTCCTCCCTGTTGAAGGAGAACACGAGCTTCCGACTGCTTCGAATGGTACATTCTTCTCGCGCCTTTTCTCGGGGATTCCACAAACACCGTTACGTAAAGCGAAGCAGACTAGTGAAGAGGCGCATCTATTGCCGGCGGTAGTTCCACCTGGTATGTCTGAGGAACCTGCTTCAGAGCATGCTGTTAATCTGTCTTCTACTCTCCCTGAAGAGACAATTCGCCCACAACTATCGCAGCAGAAACAGGATGGGGATGAGAGGTTCCGAAGCGCGATAAGCCAACAGATGGAGCAGAATTTAAACCAAGGACAGAGCGCGTGGGGCGAACCTCCAGCCTCTTCCTCACTAGCACAGATAGAGAAGCCGGAGGAGGAAGGGGAGGAGAGAGAAGGACAGTCAGAGGAGGAAGAGAATAGAGAAGGGAAGGAGGGTAAGAACGAGCTACAAGGCACCTTCGCGGACGATGAGGCGATTCGTCTCAAAATAGTCCAACAGATGGGGGAATTGGTGATTGGCGATTTCGCTCGGAGCCGGCAAGTAGAAGCTGGGGCCATTTCAGTGGCTTCTATTCCAGAGCCAGCGCGGACATTTGAACAACCGCAATCACAGCCACAGAGCGCTCTTCTGACAGAGGATGATGAACAGATTCGCCAAAGAATTACTCAAGATATGGAGCGGTCCCTTGCTGGAACCAGTGCATCCCAGCCGGAGCAGAAGAAGGGGGGGGTTGTTGAAAGTTCACAGCCGGCTGTTGCTTCCCATTCCACCCCAAGCGCTGTGTTGAGCATACCAACGGTCGCTGCTCCAAAGCGGTCTCAATTTCCTACCGAGGGCGAGGAGATTCGACAAGCAACTACCGGGGGGATGGTGCAGTCTACGCTAACAGGATGTGTCGCGCAGTCTGAAATTAAGCGAGAGAGTCAGCAAATGTCTCTTTCTTCTGTACAGCCCTTCGTTGTGCCTGCGGTTGGTGATATCCCGACCCAGCGGCCTCAAGCTCAATTAAATACCCCTCAGGACGACGAGGCGGTCCGCCATCAGATCCAAAAGGAGATGCAAAGGCTTCTGGAATCTGGCGGCACCCTTTCTACGTCTACTGCCGTTGTTGCCGTCGACGAGCCAGTCGAGAAGACAGTCGAGGAGCCGGCTGAGGAGAAGTCTCCATTCTCAACACCACCGAGATCTGTTAGACATCCATCACCACCTATCATTGGAGATGATGACCAGATACGGCGTAAGATTGTGACAGAGATGGAACAATTCGTGAATAAAAATGTATGTTAGCTCCAAAGTATGAATGAACGATAATTAATATATTAGCAGAACGTGCCCCACACTGCGGCTCCGTCTGGGCCAACGAATCTGGAGCCGCAGCAACGTATATTGCAGCCTGAACCCCGATCTGTCATTACTCCTGCGTGGGGTAATAAAGACGAACTAATACGGCAGCGGATCGTTCGGCAGATGGAGGAAATGATGATCCATGATACTACTCCTGCAGTCGATGAGCCAGCATTGCAGGAGCCTGTCTCTCAAGTTGCGGAAGTGGTGGAACAAGCGATCACTGTGCCTTACACAACGACCCCTCAAACTGTCCCGGCACCTCAGGCAATCTCTCCAGATGACGATGAGAGAATTCGCCGGAAGGTCATCGAGGAGATGGAGACACTCCTGCAAGGCGGGACCATACCCCGGCTATCCCGACCAGTCGCTGTGCAACCCACTATTCCAGTACGGCAGGCCATCGCACAGCCTACTCCAATATCAGTACCTACATCCCCAGAGACTCTGACAGACGATGAGGAAATCAAACAGAGGGTCACCGCTGAGATGGAGGAGTCGTTGAAGAAGGAGCGATCACGGGCTGCAGAAGGTACAAGTGGTCAATCTGGGACCCAGCAAGCAGCGCTACATGTGGAGTCCGAAAAAGTGGTGGACGGGAAGCGGGAGTTAGGAGCTAAGGCGGAAGCTGAGCGTCAACGACTCGCCCTAGAACAAGCTGGGCGTGAGAGAATTACAAAGCTTGCAAAAGCCGAAGAGAAGACTCTTGAGGCTGAGGCGCACAAAGCAGCAGAACTGGAAGCTCAAAGACTCGCCGAAGAAGACGAGCTTGCCGAAAAGGCTCGCCTGGAACTCGAAGCCAAAAATGCTGCCGAAGCTGAGCGTCTACTTGCCGAAGTGGCCGTCGAAAAGGAAAAGGTTGTGGAGCTTGAGCGGCTTGCCGAGGCCGAACGCCAACGCCTCGATGCCCAACGCCATGAGGAGGAGTCGGCTGCGGCAAAAACCTTGGAGGAGCGGAGGGTTGTTGAAGCGGAGAGGGTTGCTGTAGTGGAGGCTGCTCGCCAAGTCTTTGTTAACGAACAGGCCGGATTTGACGACAAGTTCCAAGAATTGGATCGACAAAGACGACTTGCTGAGGACGAGCGGGTGAGATTGGCGGACATGGCTTTGGCTGAGCGGGAGGAGGCGAGAGAGGTTAGGCAACAAGCTGAGAGAGCACAGCGCGAGTGGGAGATCGAGGAGAGGGTGAAGAGGGAGGCTTCGGCGCAAGAGGCAAACAACACTTTGGGAGTTGATGCCTCGGACACCGGAGCGGGCGGGTTCCGGGGCATCGAGACGAGTCCTGCGGCTACAGTTAAAGATGATTTGGCCTCTGATGTATTCGATACTGCAGCCGAGTCGGACGGGTCGGGAGGTAACTTAGACTATTCCGATATATGGAAGGCGCAGACTGGGCACGAGACTCCTCGTGCGATCCAGGGGCCGGTTATTGAAGGCGTTCTGGTTGGGGAAGTTAGTCGAAGCTTAGAATGTGTTATGGCTACTTCTGAATCTCCAGCTCCGTCACCATCAATGCCCATGGGTCAGCCTGCCGCCATTAAGCTGCCTTCGCCCCCGAATTCTGATGACCAAGGTTACAAATTGTCGGATGAAGTGGGTGTCAAGCCTTTTGTTGAGATGCCCTCCAACTTGGCGCATTTCCAAGAGGAAATTTCTCAAACTATTTCTGATATAGACAGCTCTGATGATGGCGAGAAGGAAGGCAAGAGAGAGAAAGAAGCTACACTGGCATTTGACGAGCTACTGATTGCAGATGATTCGGCCGATGGGTATATGGCTTTGGATGGCGGTGAGCCAGTGAAATTGATGATGGGCTGTGAAGATGTTCAACCCACTGGGCTCAGTGAGCTGTTACCACCCGAGGCATTTGTCAAGCCCAAAACTCCAGCTAAAGGACTTGGAAACATTCCTAATCTGTCTCCTCCAGGCCAATCTGTGATCGGTACCCCTGAGGGCTCGAGATCAATAGGTATGTATTGGTTTTAAGGGATTTGATACTATTCTGACTAAGACTTAGTGGATATCCGACATTATGACGACGGTGACTTTTTGCTTTCGCGTGGCTATTCGTTTGACACGCCTTCAATTGTTCTCGCGCCATCTACACCCCAGAAACGAGATACTCTTCAGAAGGGGGATTCCCGAGAATACAATCACGATGATTTTGTGGCTACCCCCCGGCGCAGTGGCATGTCTTCTCAATTTCTTGATACCCGAAATGGATCGTTTGATATTTCGTTCTCTTGCACCTCGATGGGTGAGGGTGACCAGGCAGATATGTCGGACAGTATGAGTTACCTCGAACAGGAGGAGAGTTCTGAGATTGAGATTAAGCCCGTTGCTACTTCAACTCCGAAGGGGAATCGACGACTTACTGTTTCGATTGGACTGGATAGTATTGTAGAAGTCCTGACACCGCGTTCGACAAGGGGACAATGCTTTGACAAATCCGATGTTTGCCGGAATGACGGCCCTGGTCTTGGTGGCTTTTCTGGGACTGGTGAGCGAGCAAGTGCTGTAGAGGATAGCGTTTCCTCCTCGATTATTCCGGATGAGGGGCTGGGGAAAGAAATGCTGCCGATTGAGCTGCCAGAGAAGGTAACCGAGAGGGAGATCTCGAGGGATCCTACGCGCGCGACTTCGGCCTCTAAAAATCGGTCTGTTGCTCCATGTAGTAGTACGCCAACCTTAGGTAAAGGTCTTATGAAGGATCAGAAGCAGAGATTTACTCTGGGTTCGGGCTCTGTGACCCCTAGCGCTACTACCGTATATAAGGTTTGCATTGTCCCTGGCTTTGGGAGAATAGGCGCTGATCTTTTTTAATAGCGGCCAACAAGTAGGGCGGAGGCCCGGCCTTCTAGTAGACAGGGTAATCGTCCCTCAAGCAGAGCACAAGAATTTCGTCCGCCAAGTAGAGCACAGGATGCGAAGGTATCGAGACCCTCACCCAGAGCAGGTTTGTCGACACCTGGTGGGCCTGCTGATGACGGGTCGAACTCTTCGACTCCGACTGGGACACCCGCTCCTGCGGTAAGACCTATGCGAAGACTACACCGTGACACGGTATCAACCACTGGGGCTGACTCTGACGACGATGACGACCCTCGACGATTCCTCCGCGAGGATACCCCTGATATGAATAATTCACCAGACTTTGTTAGGGCACCAAAGCTACAAGTTTCAAAGAGACATGCTCGACAGCCTTCGAACCCTACAAGCGCAGTGACTCCGGAGAAGAGTTCGCGATTCAACACGGGCCCATATGCGGCAGAAGGCTCCACCTTGGTTCTTCCCACCACACCGATACTCCCAGCGGATCTCGATGATAAGATCAACGAGATTTTGGGTAGCCTACCGTCCAAGGTCCGCTTGACAGCTTCGAACCTACAGAAACTCAGCGAGTCGACCAACCGGCAACCCCCTATAAAGCCCTTTGACCTGTCGTCTCCTACCGGGATTCCGGGTCCAAAGTCTGTAGGGTCGTCTCCATCCGTTGCATCTGAGGTGCCTTCATATGCTCGTCCGTCTGCTAGAAGACACAATTCAAGCAGCCCTGGCGATATCAAGCTTTACCATCTCCATCGTACGGATGGCCAAACACCTATTAAACTTTACATTCGTCTGGTGGGAGAAAATGGTGAGAGAGTGATGGTACGTGTTGGTGGTGGATGGGCGGATTTGGCGGAATATCTCAAGGAGTATGTAACGCACCATGGGTCAAAGAGAAGGGTTGTTTCAGAGGGCAGAGTGGAGATTCAAGATCTTTCGACCCATAGTCACCACGGCCGGACATTGCATCCATCTAGGTCTATATCTTCCTTCCGGAGCGTGAGCCCCGGGCCTATGGGTAGTCGACCCAGCTCTCCAGGTGGCAATCGTCCATCAACATCGCTCAGCATGCGGCGCCCAGAAAGCCCCATGTTGATGAAGCGATCAGAAAGCGAAAACCCGTCACTACAGATCAACCCAACAACAATGCGAGGTGGGCATAACGGCACTTTGCCTGGGAATAATAAGACATCACCAACAACCCCTCCCGACGAAGCCTTCCCACTGCATCCGCTCACAGCCCCCCAGCTAACACCACCGAACCGTAGTTCGCCGTCTAGTCGCCCAGCTTCCCGCCCAGGCTCATCTTCATCTGCTGGCTATCGAAGACCCACTTCCCGACTCTCTTTCTCGGAATCAGCATTCGGCGACTGCGGTTCTGCAAACGGGTGCTCACCGCCGTCACTACTTCCCCCGCCACAACCACTTGGTCTCGCCGGTCCAAAGGGAAAGTATGTGCACCCGGATAATCAAGCTTGGGTTGAAGGCATGTTAGGGCAGGTTAGGAAGGCTAGCGCGGACAGGAGAGCGCAGTTACTCGCTGCCACGGGGCATTATGGAGAAGGAGGGGCAGAAGAGGCGGTTGTCGAGGGGTCCATGGTTGTAGGCGGAGGAGGGGGGGATTATGGTGGGAGGGAGTTTGGAGGTAGGTTGGGAGAAATTGGAAAGGCGGGGGGGACCAAAAGGCTGTTTGCTAAGAAGGGATGATTCTTGATTTCTTTTTATTTTAAGTAAAGCGTTTCATTTGTTTCGTTTCATCTGTCTGGGTGTTTGGGGGTTGGAGTTTGCTTTTTTCCTACGTTTTCTCGTTCACTAATCATTAATTTCCTTTTAATGTGTGGTTTTTCGCGAGGATTTCACCAGCTACCGGTAGGGTATTTCTATTTCTACATTTTTTATTCCCATATTGTACTTGGAATTCGTAGGGCTGGACGGTTGAATTGGACGGATGGCTGGCTAGAAACAGGGGGAATCGCTTCGGGGTTACACAAGTGGGATATATACAAGTTTTCTCTTTACTTTTTACTACTAGTTTGAGCTTTAATAGGAATTGGGTTATACCATAATACGGCAACGACAGCGCCTTTTTATTTCTTTTTACTTCCTTTCGTCAGGTTTCTAATGTAGTTTAAGTGGTGTGTGGGGGGGGGGGTGGCTATGAATTGAACCTTTTCTTTCCGAAAGTTGCTAGCGTCTATATCATAGATGTCGTGAGTTGCATTGCAGAGCGTAGCAATACCGGTATCATAACATTGCGCTCTTGCGGCTATGGGGTTAACCAAAGTTCCTCACTGGGTTAAGTCAGGTTGGTTGGGCTGGGACAGAGATTTTTTTCTTTCCTGGGTTAAGTTGGATTCAGGCGCGGCCAACCCGGGTCACTTTCCTCCCCTCAATGTGTATGCTTTTGACACTTAATTTCACATCATTTACATTCTTATGGGGTTTGAGCTTTTTCTTTGACGTTTTACTATGGCCCATTCGTCGCATAGACCTAACGAGTTCGCTGGGCGAACCCGGGCTGCGCTTCACTGGACCGGGTTGGCTTGGCCGAATGTTCGTTGGGCCATTGGTCGGGCCGGGTCGGCACTTTCTCGACCCAAGTTAACCATTTGTATGATAGGTTTGTGAAACAGAAAGCTTCCCCCCTGCCTCTACCTGTCTACAGACAGCCGTTCCACCGCACCCCGCTTGAAAGGGATTTCGTTTTCTTCTTATAACCTCCCGACACTCCTCGAGAAGCCGGTTGCTAGGAATCCTTAATTTATGAACGATAACTGCCAACATAATTCTCCTATCGCCAAATGTAATTGCCACATTGGCACTGGCGGCTACATTCACGGGAGACTTTTCACCCCAACGAGTGCTTGTCCCGGGCAAGAAGCATCGGAAATAGATGTTTGCAAATATATGGCAAAAAGCGGGTGCGTGCGTGAGCGCCTAGTCACAAAATCGCGGCTCGTATTTTGGAAAACTTCCTCCCTAGGACGAGTACAAATTGTCACTGATCTGGGAGGGCGGGAAAGGAGTACAATATAAGTCATAGGGTACAAAAGGGGCCTAGATTCCCGTGATCTCCGAGGGGTCTGTTAGGGGGATTGAAGACATTTCCTCCTCCAGTATTATACCACAAAAGGCGAAGAGCTTAGAAACCAAGAGGGGATAGCGGAACAACTCGATTATTAGACAAAGCAGCTCAAGCTAATTTAGTACATATAGAGGACGGATCCACGAAGAAATATATCCCTGGTAAAACCGTCTTCTCACATTCTTGTCATTTCTGAATTCTGTAATTTCACAGCGGCCATGTGACTCCGGGCTGGCGATGCCGAGATACAGAGGATATCTCGCATCTAGATAGGGTTTCAACACCAACATCACTCAACGAGTGATAGTGTATGAAGGAGAATACCATTATCATACATACTGAAAAAAAAGTCTGGATTGCCCCTGAATCTAAGCAAACCGCTAGGCTGTAGAAACCACTGTATCATACGAATCCTCGACTGTTACCATGCGTTAAGGTTTAATGGCTTTAGGGACAATCCACGCTTCTTTTGGCAGGTTGCATACTGACGACACTCATCAAAAACAAAGAAGGGAAAAACACATTTAGCGGTTAGGTAAGCCCAAAGCTCACGTCCCGGGAAAGGCAAGAGGGTCTTTGCCCATCGGTTAAAATTAGTGTAAGGAATATCAGAAAGCTAACCCTCTCCGGGGCCAGGTGAGGACCGACACGACCCGATCGGAGCTTGGGCTTCCTAGGCGATGGGAGCATACGAGTGAGGAAGATAGTGGGGCAAGCCCGGTTTCACACCGGGGTATGGAGTTTTCGCACGTTCATATTAACCCGGAGTTTGAAATTGGGGTGAAAATAATTTTATATACTGGTCTTATTGCTGCTCCGCTTTTCCTCTCCTTGTTTTGGAAATGTAGAAAGCGTTTCTGCTCTACCGGTTATTGCGAGTAGTGCTGGGACTCAAACTTTCCCGTTGCCGCACCGAAAATTTCCTACCAATGGTAATTTCAAATGCAGCAGTTATAGATGGGGGGCCGACTCGATAAGAACTTTCTAATATCTGTAGGAAAATTCCAGGGGTGATTGACGCTATCTATCCAATGCGTTGAATTTTAAATATTTATAGGAAGTTGGTGATTATTCCGAATCCCACAGCTTTTTAGTAGGGAATGTCATTGTCGTACTTTCTTTCTCCACCTGTATGGGGCAGAAGAGAAGGCGCAATTCCCGATATCATACATCGGAAAGAAAAAAGGGGGAAGAGAAGGGGGGGTTTCCTGTAAAGAAACAACTACTCGAGTACAGTGAGCCAGACGAAGAGGTAGAAGTGTGTGTATGTAATGGGCTGACATCATGAACACAGCCGCTATTGCGCACCATCCAGGTAAGCGCGGGAAGGCAAAAATTTGGCTGTATGCAGTAGGGCCGTGTTCGCAAATGCTAACTCACTATGAGCAGAGGAAAGGCAGAGAAAAATGAATTATAAAGGAGACAAAATAATCTCGGGAAGAATAGAGTGAAGCTAGGGGAACTCGAAGCTGGAATTCAATCAAAATTTAATGAAGATAATAATTATTATTAAAATATGTTTTCGCCCAATCAGATGCGAAGAGGGCAAACCCTGGGCCCCCGGCGTCCTGCATAATAATGTTGTAAGCTCCGCCAAGCAGCCGCCGTCTCCCCCCACGATACACGACACCAAAATAAATGTTTCATCGCTGATTATCATACTAAGTCACGTTTTTATGCATCACTCGGAATACCGGTTTGCATTCTTGTTGTATCATAAACCAACTTAGTTGTGCTCCGCACATCTGGTTCTACCGGGGTGCACTTGCTGATCTTATAACCACAGAATACCGGTATGGTTACCATGCTCTGCCAGAAACCTAGAGGTGTTCTCTTCTTCGGATAGTGGAAGACACTCAAAGCTATCATTGTTTGGGTCTTCAGATAAGCATTAAGACTTCATCTCTGAGCAGAAGGTGTATTCACAATTTAAACTTCCGGGATTCTCATGGTATCATATTTATTGCTTTTATTGAATAGCTAAACTCATAATACATGACTCACACTTCCCCTGCTCTCCCGCACCCTCATCCATCTTCCCTGGCAGTCCTTTGCTATGATAAAATCAGGGTCACAGCTCTACCCTAAGCGCTACTATCTCATCCCGTAGGGCCCGCCCTCCGACCAGGAGACCATCGTCCTGATGTGTCGCTGCCCCAGGCCGAGTGAAGACCGCCTCGTGCGACGTCGGGCGCCTGCCAATTCCTGGAGTATTCCCGGGCGGAATGGACTTGCGAATAGGCTTGGTTGTTATGTCGATCAACTCTTTAACAGGTTCTGCCGCCATCTCCTGAGGCGCCCTTTCCTGACCTATTCCAACCACTCTCTTAGGATACCCACCGATCGCGTGGCTGCTGAGTGGGGCGTGACCAAGATGCCATGAAGGGTAGCGGGGTTCAAGGAGAGGCGGAACGTCACTGTGTGAAAAGGTTGTCTTTATCAGCTTTAACCAAGAATTAGCATTGTGAGAGGGAAGGGATAAGCATACCTAGTGTAACTCGATTCCAACGTGGGCTTAAGGTGAAAGGGATTAACTGGGGTGTCCAGGCCATTGGGTATAAAAAACGGGGTACCATAGGGTTCTCCGGCCATATTCATACCCCGCTGGTTCCGGAAGTCGTAACCTCTATAGTCCGACCAGTACTCAAAGGAGTTCAGTAACGCACGATCTCTCACCCTTCTCCCATCCATTGCATGTCCCCCTAACCATACATGACTTCCTGCCTTCACAGAACTTGGACGTCCTTCTGGATCTGTATCCACAAGGGCCTGGATAAGCCATTTCCCGGTCTCACTTATATTGGTGTAGTCGGCTTGCTTAATTTTTCCGCGAGAAGATTTCCCTTTTTGTAGTAGTAGCTTATGATATCTCCAAGTGAACAAAACGGCCTCGCTCCTTGCCAGGGGACCACATATCAACCGCATTCGTGTAGATCGAGGTTTCGGAGGTAGAGCCAATGCCGAGAACCTCTGATACCGCATAATAATCAGTGCACAGCCGGCTACGATAATATAATGGAACATAAGTGAAATCCAATATCATAGAGGAAAGGCAAAGGTATATGTATGGTTATCAGAGAGAATCGCAGAGCGACGCCTGTACGAGTAAGTGCGTTGGAAGTCGCTCTTCCCAGCCAGCTGGCAGTGACGCTGAGGAAACAACTTGATTAGGCCGACCAAGGAACTTGTGTGGTTAGACAAAGGGATTCGTTAAAATGAATAGAATCACGTGATTCTATTGTGCTGGATTGCATCATTCTAATCGTGCTGGGGCTTAGCGATAATAATACCGGATACCGTTTCTTAGCTTTCAAGTAGCTTTCATTCTGACAGGGAACGATAACATCGAGGAAAGAATAGCAAAAAGTGGTGGACACAATAAATTTACCATAGTTATCTGCAGATATGGGAAAGGTAATTGGCTGGGAGTTGGTTAGAATTTAGACCAGGACAAGTAGATTACTGTGCAGGTATTTAGGCGGATGTTCGCCATCCTATATCACAGAATACTAGTACCGGACACAGCGACAAGAGCCTCCTGATTGCCAAGTAGTTTCCTGCAATCTCCAATAGCCTCCAATTTTTGAGTCACTTTCCCTCGATTAGCCAGATGTGCTGAGGATACATTTCGTAGGGTATCCATGACGATGGTTTATATTCTCAATGCTGTCAGTTCGGGCATTAAACCACCGCATCAGTAGTGTGTCTAGTCTTCTAACATGTTTCGATCCTATTGTAATCACTAACCACAGGCCCCACCGTTCATCATTTACTTGCGATCTCCAAAATTGTTTTACACACCTCCAGCCGGATGAGAATAATTGCCAAATTGGCACTGGCGGCCACACCCACGGGAGGCTTTTCACCCTGGTGAGTACTTGTACAAATTGTCACTAAAGAGGCATCGCGGGTTAGCGGATCGGGGAGGGAAAAGACTATAGTACAAGTCATGGGGTACAAAAGGAGTCCAGATTCCCGTGATCCCTAAGGAGTTTGGTAAGGGGAATTGAAGACATTTCCTCCTCCAGTATTACATCCCAAAAGGCGTAGGACAGCCAAAACCAAAGGAGGATAGCAGGACAAGGGCTCGGTGATTGGACATCACAATGCAAACTAGGTCGGTATATAGGACAAAGAAATTCACATGCCCGATAAAATCCCATCTCACATTCCTGTCATTTCCGAAGCCCGCAACCACAGCCGCCACGTGAGCCTGGACCGGTGATACTGAGATACAGGGCAAATCTCTCATCTAGGTACACGGTTTCTACACCGACTTTCGCTGATCGTGGTTGCGCACCATCAAAGTGTGATAGTGTATGAAGGCGAACATCATCACATACGTGCTGATGCCGCTCATCAAAAAAAAAAAACAGAGCGGGGAAAAAACACATCCGCTAGTTGGGCAAGCTCAAAGCTTACCTCTGGGGAAAGGCAAAATAGTGGAACAAGACGGGCCTTACAAAAATTGGGAGTTTCGCATATTAATATCAACCTTGAGTTTGGAACCCGGGTGAAGTTAATTTCATATACTGGTCTCCAGGATCTCCCCCTTCCTCCTTGCTTTGGGAATATAGATATGATTTCTACTCTACCGGTTATTGTGAGTAGGCTCGAGGCTCAGGGATTCCCCCATTGCCGCACCAAAAAACCTGTCAGGCATGCTGTTGGAGGGTAATTTCAAATGCAGCAGTTATAGATTAGGGCCCGTTTGACAATAACTTTCTAGAACCTGTGTAAGTGATTACAGGAGGTAATTAGGCCTATCGGTGCAATGTCTATCGGTGCAGTGTCTTGAATTTTGTATATTTTTTGTTAGGCTGATGGTTATCCCGAATACCCCAGTTTTTTGGTGGGAATGCCGTTGTCCTACTTTCTCCTTTACTCGCACGGGGCAAACAAGAAACCCAATCCCCAGCGAGTTGCATGAACAAAAAGGGTGTGGAGGGGGATCCCCTGTAAGGAAACAACTGCAGACTCTATATCCATATCAGATCCAATCAGGGTGCTAAACAAAGGGGAAGAAGCCTGTACTCGTAATGGGGTGGTATTCATAAACACAGCTGATATTGCGCACCCACCCAGGTCGGCGCAGGAAGGCGAAAACTTGGGGCTTATATTTTTTTTTTTATTGAATAGCTAAACTCATGAAACATCACTTATCCGCGGCCCTGCTTAGTAATGCAGAGTGACTCACTGGATAATTCGATAAAGGCTCCGTCAATGACCTGACCGATGGAGAGCTTAATTCAAAGGTAATTGACAATAAGAAAGTAGATAGTGGAGCTTCATATATCAATATGACTCCTCCGGACACTCCCCAGCAGAGAACAATCAAAGCTTGAGGGAGAGCCCTCAAGAACAAAAAGTGAACGAAAAGAATAAAATAAAGAAGAACGGCTAGTGGTAGCCAGAGCCTGGCATGAAAAGTGAAAACCGAGACGAAGCATTTGAGAACACAAAGAAATCCCTGTATCAACATCCTGCGCCCTCGCTCATCTTCCACAGCGCTCCTTTGCTGAGACCTAGAGTCACCGTCCGACCTGAAGGGGACTTTCCTGAGATAGAATAATCGTCAAAAGAAAAGAGTAAGGCCAATGGAGCTCAAAGTTAGAATCCAATCAAACAAAAATAAACTGTTGATGAAACCGTGAGAATAAGCCTCCTTGCCGACCAGGTGCGAAGATGGACTATGATCCCGTGTTGGGAATTGGGGAATGCTCCTCAGCATGCCCATGTGATATTTTCCTTGTGTTGGCAAAAGTCTCGAATATCAGTGATGACTTAGGAATGTAGAGAGGTCAATTGAATGCCATAGAAGCCATGGAGGAGATGGGAGAATATTCTCCAACACTTGAGAAGTACCATTGGAAGACGCTAGGGAATCGGGGTTCTTTGCTCCAGATTCTTTTGTTCAGAAGTCGCAGAAAATGCTCTTCTCTTTTGTTGTCATGCAAGGAGGCACGAGAAGACGGGCATGTATAGAAGAAGGATGACAGGTGTGGTGATCGATGGAAGGATAGAAATGGTCGCGCTATATTCTATAATATTATAGAGAAAATAGGAAGACCAAGTCCTGAGCTATCCTCACCCGTTGCCATTCGGCACTATGTTTAGGCGTCCTGCATGATGCGGCAATCCCCGCCAAACAACTGCCACTCCATCCATCCTTTATAATACGCGACCTAAACAAAATGTTTCCTCCAGCATTAACTTAGCAAACAACGCTTTTTATACGTCACTCAGACTACGGGTTTGCTTTTCTCGTTGCAAACCCACTTATTTGGGCTCTGCATATCTTGTTTTCCCCTAGTGGGTTGGCTGATTTTATAGATCAGGGAGCATGGTTACTCTTCCAGAAATCCAGACCTGTCCTCTTTCGGACAATAGAGCCTGACCAAAGTTGTTTGATTTCAGCAGATAAGCTGAAAAGACTTTACCTCTGAGTAGAAGGTGTATTCAAAACTTAAACTTCGGGTTTCTTCCCATGGCATCCACCCCACTTGCTTCCTCCGCCCCTGGAAGTACCTAATATTCCGAAGGAACAGCTGAACTCATGAAATATTATCTATACTCGTATCCTTCATAATGCAAAGAAAAAGGTATTCAAAATCCCTGAAAGCAAATACCACCTATCCCTGTCGTCCTGCGCAGCGATGCGGATTAGCTCACTGGATAATTCAGTAAAGGGATATGTAGAGAAACATAGGAACTCGACGATTTAGTAATGACCTCGTTAAGGACCAGAGCTCTGCGGAACTCAACACAGAGATAATTGATAATCAGAAGTAGCTAGTCGAACTATTTATCAATATGACCTGTCCAGACACCCCCCAGCAGAGAGTAAACAAACAAAGGCGAAATAACCGGAGGCCACAAGAACAACAAAATAAAAACAGCCAGTGTTAACTAGGATCTGGTATGGAAAGTGAAAACCAAAAGGAAGTATTTGAGAACATAAAGAAACCATTGTATCAACATCTAGTACCCTCGTTCTTCTTTAGCAGTCCCTTGCTGAAATCTGGGGTCCCAGCTCTGCCCTAAACAACGCTACCCTCATCCTGCAGGTTTCGATGGCCAAAGTGCTTCCTCGTTGAACGGTGCAGATCCGGGATACGACTCGTTCAGGAAGGCCGAGATGGTAAGGTAGGCGGGCGCCACCGCCGGCCCTAGGGACACCGTTTTCAAGTCCATTCTATCCACTCCCTCATCCTGCCTGCTAACCCTGCGGCTACCGGCTACATAGTCACGGGAATATAAACTGGCAAGGGGACTATGGGGTGCAGAGAGACCGGCAGGATCAATCGGACTACTATAGTATCAGCCTTTATCAAGAATAGTGTAAGAGGGAAAGGATAGACATACACAAGACTACGTATACTACTATTATTATTAGCTTCAGCTGAGAATAGGTAGAGCAAAGGGGAAGGGGTGGGCATACCCTTTGAGATTCTGCGAGTTGTTAGGGGTGATCAGTGAAGCACAATCTCTCATTTCCTTTTCATCCACAAACTGAAAGTCTGTTCCTCTATGATTATCAACTCCAAGCTCCTCTAACCATACATCACTTGCTGCCTCCACCACATCTGGACGTCCTTCTGGGTCTGTGTCCACGAGGGCCTGGATAAACAATGCCACTCTGCCACTTATTGGTGTGGTCAACTTGCTTGATTTCTCCGCTACAAGGTTTCCCTTTTTGTAGTAGTAGCGCATGATATCTCCAAGCGAACAAAACAATTTCTCTCCAGTCAATAGCTCATAAACAACACATCCGAGGGACCACATATCAACCGCATTTGTGTAGATCGAGCTCTCAGAAGTAGAGTCAATACCGAGAACCTCCGGTGCAGCATAATAATCAGTACACACTCGGCTACGATAAGCAGTACCGCTGTGGATTCGTTTTGATATTCCAAAGTCTCCTAGTTTCACCCAAACAGGGGACATGGAAACAACGAATATATTCTGTACTTGTACACTAGTCAGTCTATCCCCTACCCTAAAACATGGAAACCCATAGCGGTGAGGAGAAACATACGTCTGGCTTTAAATCCCGATGGGCAATCCCATTCTCATGCATCACTTGTAAACCCTTGATCACTTGTCTAGTTATCCTTTGTACAACCTCCTCTGGTAATGGTCCATCTAGCTGCTTTCGGAGATCTCCTTGCTCAAAACACTCCATAGCAATGTAGAGCCGGTCGCTATCCTCAAACCACCCCAAAAATTCGACAAACAGTGATCGATATTCAGGCTAAGGCAATCAGCAATGATAGGTTTTTAGTCTACTCATACAAAAAATAACGATTCTAACCTTGTTCAAGATAGCCATTATATTAAACTCTCGGGCGTGAGAGGGGTATCCACTCTTCTCGACAGACTTGACCGCCCGTACCTTACCTGTCTTTTCTTCCCGGTGCTTGCGAACAATGCTGTAGCTTCCACGCCCGAGAACCTCACCCACACTCCACGTTTCCCTCATCCCTCCTGCTAGTGATTCACTGTACTCTAACCGATTCCCATCGTACCCAGTGTTAAGTCTATACAACCCAACTGGGTCCGGTTCCAAGTGCTTTGTCTGTGGGACATAAGATAACATATGGGAAATCCGATATTGTAGAGGAAATGAAAAGGCCTAGTATGGTTATAAGTGTAGTTGTTAGAGACGCGCAGTGCGATGCTAATAGATTAGTTTTTGAAATTTGTCTTTTGGAAGCAGAGCTCCACAACCAGCTGGCAGCGAGGCTAATGGCGCTTAGGAAGCAACATGATTGGGCAAAGTGCCCTGCGCCGTCGGACAATAGGATTCATTCAACAAACGGGACCATGAGATTGTATTGCATTGGTTTAGACAATGGTATAATAGATAGTGATTGCAACCACAATACTCGAGTAACTTACAATTGTCAGCACTCTGCAGGTCTCGGAAAGGTTCTTGTGGATGCCGGCCATCCAACTTCATGGAATACGTGGTACAACGACGAGAGCCACTTGATTGCCAAATGGTTTCCCGCAAGCCACAGTACTGTACTGTACCTCCCAATTTTTGGTCACCCGATAAGCCGGAGTTGGCTGAGAATACGTTTCCTAGGATATCACATGCTCTCGGATTGTGTGTAATACCGGTATGCTATGATATGATAATAGCTTTGGCGCACCAAAACCCTTCATATACCACGAGGTTTATGGTAAAGTCTTTTAACACGGTCACATCCTGGCCGAATCATCTCACAAAAGGAATGGCAGTTAGACTTTCAACAGGCAAAGGTTACCTCATAAAATAGTTATGCAGGACAACAGCGATGGTGGTGAAATGGATCGCTCAGTTGCGCTGCTGGGAGTGATAAGAGCTGTATACTGTCTATGAAAAAAGGTTGCTTGTTGAGAGCGAAGCAAAACTAGTACTGTAACCCAAAACTCCCCTCCAGGCACCACTCGTCCATACGCACACCTCTCGCACGCACGCTGTCCGGACGTACTCACGCTTATACTACTAGGGTTACAGTACCATCAGTGAACGCCTTCACAGTCCACAGCCACACCACGAGCCAAACCCGCTCAATCAAGTAAATGGTGAAGGCAGGAAGGTATATTGTAATTGCTCAGTGCGAGCTACAAGACGAGCCATTTGGGCTACCGGCAGGTTAATATCCAGGGTGAAAGAAGCGCTGCATAGAGCTCATTGTAATCCTGAGATATCCCAAAGGTTTTCTGAGACAATATATTCTCGGAAACCGCTGTATAATTATAGGGAGGACCAACCATCAGGTAATTAGTGATAATATATCGGAAGAGGAGCGATGCTGGAAAAAGCACCTGGTTTGATAGAAGGATGGGGTGGGTGCTATACCCCCAACTGGCGCGAGTCGTAGTTTGTGGTGAAGTGGTCACCCCTGACCGGGTCCATATCGAAGGGAAGGGTGCAGTACAAGAACAAGCGAACAAGCGAACAAAGCAACACAAAGACAGCAGGAACAAGCCATTATCCGTAAATGCGTTGCTTTACTTGTGTTTTCCCAGGTGGTATAGACAGGCCCAAATCTAAGGCTTGCCATTCCCTCCCTCCATCCTCCCTTCAATCTCATTCCGGCTCCTACATGTTGTGCAGGATTACACTGGGAATCAAATCCCAGCCAGCGGGGGGCCCTAGACTTCCAACATAAATTTAGGGCTAATGTCTGCTGTCTTCCCTCAGCGAGTTTTAGAGGCAATGTTCTAAGATGTAAGTTAGCAGATGCAATCTGACCGCCGGCAGTTACCCGCATCCCCCAGATCTATAGTTGTGACTTAGAACAGTCTGTCCCAATTAGGAGAATTGGACACGGGTGAGCACTAGTTGTGGGAGCCATGGCTCCTCAAAGCGTATTTCGCTTGCTGAAATGAACTAATAAGCTGGTATTTTAGAACATAGGGAATACTCAGCACCGAGCTTCCGGAGTGATAGGGGGTGGTCATTTTTATGGAATTGGAACAGGTTTCGTTAATTGCAATTGTTCGTTGACCTTTCTACGTGCAGTGGAAGCCCTTTCGTCTGAGGATATTGTCTTGATCTTTTATTCTCTTCAACTGTGGGCAAACAACAATCCTTATATACATGAACCTTAACATTCTGATGTTCCTTCTCTCACTATCTCATCATCTCTCCTATAGCGAGCGTACGCAGCGGTTCTTCAAGTCGTGAGGAGGAAAACACTTGTGTGGAGGCGAGAGTGTATGTGTTCGGTATAGTGGTCCATGACCGAATTGTTCCTGCTTAAATACAGGAAAGGGAAAACTCCCACACATCAGGGTAAACCCACATAACAGGAAAAAGACAAACCATGACCATGACCATTCTGGCTAACCATCAACATACCTACTGGGATTACATATCCATCTCTCCTCCCCTTTGATAACACTAACCACGCTCCTTCTCTCTTCATCTCATTTCTTCCAGTCCTTCACTTCCATTCCCTTCCCTTCTCTTTCCTTTACCGTACCTTCTCTTCTCTTCTCCATGCTAAGTGTGACCCTCCCAGACTTGTAGATTCTTCCTCATTACCCTTTGTGCGAAAGATAATAAATTCGGGACGTATGGGGCTGGTTCCCACCACTCCCTGGTCATGCCACTGAGCGCCGGCAATTCACAATGACAAGTCCTACTGAATACCATACTATACTACCTGTAGCAGGCAAGAAGCATGCGATAATATCATACCCCTCGAGAGTTCGTCCTAAGCACAGAGCCTTTGCTATATATTTCCAAATCCCTGCTTCCGGATTCTTCTTGTCTGCTACGAGTTCCACACTAGCAACATGGATCTGAATAATACATCGTTCCGAGCAACTAGTAATAACATTCTGCTCTCGAGGCCATTTGGTTAACCCGAGTTCCTCACTGGGTTAGGTCAGGTTGGTTGGGCCTGGCCGGAGATTTTCTTTCCCGGGTTGAGTCGAGCCCAAGCTGGGCTGATATTGGTTGCCCAAAATATTAGATACATTAAGCCCTATTTCCCACGCAAGAAAAATGGCATTTTCCCACTTTTACGTCATTTCTCATTCATAAAAATTATCATAAAAAAAAAGGAGCCATGTTTGGTGTATGATACATAACATGTTCCTAGGAATCTTGGATTCAGGAGCGGCAGCTGTCAACATGGCTCTGGGATAGTCAATGCTCCCGGACGAGAGTAATTACCGCATTGGCACTGATAGCTATACCCAGGGGAGACTTTTCACTTGGGCGAGTGCAAATTGTCATCGAAGGGGTATCGTGGGTATGTGGATGTGGGAGAGAAAAAAGTATAATATATGTCGCAGGGTACAGAAGGAGTTTAGATTCCTGTGATCGTAGAGGAGTCTGGTAGGAAAACGGAAGACATTTCCTTCACCTAAAAACCTGGGCGTCCTGCATGATGATGTAAATCCCGCCAAACAACTACAGCATCCCGCCATCCTTTATAATGCGCGACCCAAAACAAATTGTTTCCTCCCACATTTACAAGCCACGTTTATTGTATATCATTCGGACTGCCGGTCCGCATTCTCATTGCAAACCCATTTATCCGGGATCGGCATATCTTGTTTTCCTAGGTTGTGCTCGGTGATCCGGTAGAATCATGGAATATGATTACTCTACCAGAATTCCCAGAGGTGTTCAGTGGAACGCGGCAAAAGTTGCAATCATTTCAGTCAGCAGATATGCTTTGGGACTTTGCCTCTGAGCAGAAGGCCCATTCACAATTTAACCTTCAGGTTTCTCCCAATGGCATCCACCCCACTTGCTCCCTCCGTCCCTAGAGCCCCTACCATTCCTACCGAAAAGCCAAATTCATGAAATATCACTCATACCATCCCCTTCGTCCTTCACAACAATGCAGAGTAGCTCACTTGATAATTTGATGACTCAGTAAAGGTATATATAGCGAAGCATAGTTGCTTGATGATTAGGTAAAGACTTCGTTAATGACTTGGTCGACAGAGCTCAATACAAGGATAGTCGAGCGATATATCAAGATGACTTATCAAATACCCCCCAATAGCAAACAGACAGTGGTCAAGAACCCTCAAGAACAAAAAGCCAAAAGGAATTAAAAAAAGAACAGTCAGCACTAATCAGGACTGGCATGTAAAGTAAAAACCGAAAGAAAGCATTTGATAACACAAAGAAATCCTTGTGTCAACATCCCGTATCTTCACTCATCTTCCAAGCTGTCCTTCGCTGAGACCCAGAGTCCCAACTCCGCCCTAGATACCACTATTCCACCCCATAGAGCCCGCCACCTGGCCCTAAAGGCTACCGTCCTGATAGATCACCAAATCGCTCCCACTAGCAGAACAGGCCACTTACGAATAGACTATTTCACGTATTCTAAACTGCAAATCTATGAACGGGCTCTTCCACCATCTCCTAAGGCGTTTCCAAGTCCATTCCATTCACTCACTCTCCCATAGTGCCTGTTAACCCTACGGCCACAGACCATACAGTCCGTACAGTGACGGATGTGGGCAGGGGCTAGAAGGTTCAGGTAAAACCGGGTCGAAATAAAGTGGACTACTTGCTGTTATTAGTTTCAACCGAGAATCAGTAGCATAACGGGGGAGGGATGGGCATACTCATAAGAGCCCGGCAAGTATGTGAACGGATAGTGTTCACTGGAACTCTGGGATAACTCAACTGTAGGGCTTTGACGACTGGGCTCAAAACTGAAATATAAAAAAGCGGTGGATAAGGGCCCATTGGTTGCTCCGGCGCCGGAGGCGGGGTCATTATATACTGAGGCAGCAGGTGGGGTGCTATAGGTCGCTCCCGTGTCAGAGGCGGGGCCATTCGTGCCCCGCTGACCCAGGGTGTTACACCTTTTGAAATCCCACGGGATATCAAAAGACGGAATATAAGAGCATGGGATATATATCAGTGTGGCATGATCTCCTGCTTCTTTTCCATCCACACACTGCAAGCCTGTTCCCCTCTGATCGATTTCAAGCTCCTCTAGCCATACATCACTGGCCGCTTCCACCGCATTTGGACGTCCTTCTGGATCCGGGTCCACAAGGGCTTGGATAAATGACCCCACCATGTCACTTATTGGCGTAATCAACGTGTTTGACTTTTCCGCCAGAAGATTTCCCTTTTTGTAGTAGTAGCGCATAATATCCCCGAGTGAGCCAAACAGTGTCACTCCAGCCAAAAGCTCATAGACAACACAACCGAGGGACCACATATCAACAGCATTTGTGTAAATCGAACTCTCGGAGGTAGAGTCAATACCGAGAACCTCTGGTGCCGCATAATAATCAGTGCACACCCGGCTACGATAAGCGGTATCGCTGTGTACTCGTTTTGATATTCCAAAGTCTCCTAGTTTCACCCAGACAGGGGACATGGAAACAACGAATATATTCTGTGCTTGTATATACACTAGTTAGTCTAGCCCCTACCCTAAAAGCCGGAAACCCATAGCGGTGAGGAGGAACATACGTCTGGTTTTAAATCCCGATGGGCAATTCCATTCTCATGCATCACTTGTAAACCCTTGAGCACTTGCTTAGTGATTTGCTGCACAACCTCCTCAGGCAGTGGCTCATTCAGATGCTTTCGAAGATCTCCCTGTTCAAAATATTCCATCGCGATATAGAGCCGGTCGCTATCTTCAAACCACCCAAAAAAATTCAACAAACAATGATCGATACTCAAACTAAGATAATCAATGATAATAAGTAGATAGCCTATTTATAGAGAAAGCAATGGTTCTAACCTTGTTCAAGATAGCCATTATATTAAACTCCCGAGCGTGAAAGGGGTATTCACTTTTCACGATAGATTTGACCACTCGTACCCTACCCGTCAATTCTTCCCGGTGCTTGCGAACAACGCTGTGGCCGCCACGTCCAAGAACCTCACCCACACTCCAGCTTTCCATCGGCCGTCCCTGTGGATATTCCCAATACCGTAACAGATTCTCATCATACTCGCTATTAAGTCTATACGACTCAACTAGGTCCGATTCCAAGTGCTTTGTCCATGGGATATCAGGTGAAATACAATGTCGTGGAGAAAACGTAAAGACTAAATGTGCGTATAGGTGTGGTAATCAAAGAGAAAAGTGGAGTGACACGTGTTTTGGAAATCGCGCTTCACTGGCAGCTAGCAGCGAGGCCAATGGCGCTGGAAGCAATGTTGAAAAGAAGGCCTTCGGTGATCGAACCCGGGGGGTTAGAAGGGAGGGGGTTTGAATCGGGGATTCTGAAAATGGGGATAAAAGGGGGGGTTCAATAATGTCTTAGTAAGCAAAAGTAGGGGGAAATATTCATTGCTCAGAAGCAGGGAAAGAGAAGTAAATTAGCAAAAAAATCTACCAAGAATCCTATCGTACCAGTTTGATCGTACCTGTTTTAGTATCAGCAAATTTCACGCGAACATGCCTCCCATTCCAGGAGAACACTGGAAATTCTACTATATTTTAATTTGTTTCTTTGCCTTCAACTCGCTTCAAATGTCATTGTTTTTTGTTTTGTCAGAAGGGGTTCTATCTTCTTGTAACCCCCCGGTTCGAAAAAGCGCGTTCCAGCCCTTCGATCGTTTTTTGATTCAACCCCCCCTTCCTTGCAACATTGGCTGGAAGCAACGCGACAGAGCTGACTAAGGATCCTGCGCAGTTGGACAAAATGATTCATTCCAAGAATGGGCCACGTGATTGCATTGCAGAATACTTTTCCTGCAACCCACAGCAGCTGTCAATTTTGAATTATCATACTTGATTAGACGGGGTTACTGAAGATTCGTTCCATAGGATATCTCATGCGCTATAATTCCCTGTAAGGTATGATAATACTGTAGCTGGATATATGAAAACCTTGTAAGCGCAACTTTATTTTATTAGGGGGGAATATAGAAGCAAACCACAATCATCTCCAGACTAGAAACAAATAGCTGCATCCCTTTTTTACCTCAAAAGAGTTTAGCATCATCCCTTTTTATCATTCACGGTCATGTTACACAGTCTTCTGTCGCAATCAATTCCCGCCGAGGTCATGTTAAAGTCTTTTAATACAGTTGTAGCCTAGCCAAATCATCTCACAAAAGGAATGGCAGCTAGCCCTTCAACAGGCTAAGATCATCTCACGGAAGAGTTATGCAAGATATCAGCACTTTCACAATTTATAGTGAGACCCGAAGCAGCAGTCTCAATCCATGAAACGGTGAGGGTAGTGGGGCGTTGTATCCGTTCAGCGCGAGCTAAGAGACAGGCCATTTGAGCTAGGTTAATACCCGGGGCGAAAGAAATTTTGCAACTCTTTAGAGGCCATTGCAATCCTGAGATGCCGGTATCCCAGAAGTGTTCTGAAATACGATATCCTCGGAAACCCTCTGGCTGGTTATAATATGAGGTTTGGAGGCCATCCCCAACCATCAAGTCATGCGAATGTATATATCGGAGGAGGAGCGATGCTGGAAAGCGCCTGGTTCGACAGGAATGTGGGGTGAGCGCTATTTTCGGAGTTTGCGAACAAGAAATCGGAGATCGAACATATCTACTCGAGTAGAGTATATGAGACAGCGTTCTTTTGGGAAAGAATGAGAATTTCTTGCGCTCTTCAGACGACGAATGCACCTGAAACTGCCCTGTTTATAGTAACCAGTGGCGTCAATATCAACATGACTCTTGTCATCTCCCAAATCCCAATGCCCCAAGTAGCACGGCAGGTGCCCCGACATATGCATGCTTTCTATCACATTGAAGTCATGCATTTGACAACCATAACCCAACTAGCGCGAGTGATAGTTTGTGCCTGGGGCCTCACCCTGTCCAAGTCCATAACGAAATGAAAGGTGTACATGTATTAGGGTATGGAGGTTAGTGATGAGATGGACAGGGATACGGATTGCCGGGGACATATCCACAGATTCCTGTGCCCTGCACACGTCTTCGGCCAACTGTACTTGTATGATACCCCGCTGGCCTCATCACTAACCTCCATACTCGAGTAGTACAGCCGCATTCGTAAAATTTCCATGCCCTCCCTTGTACCCCAAGATCTGTACCTATTAACAACAAGAGAAGAGCTTCCAGATGACTGCTCTCGGATAAGCTTCTAGGGATACTGTAAAGTTTTATCGCAATTTGCTTTGCCGAATAATGAGAGAGAGGGTTTAGCAAAGCGTTTCCAAGGGCCGGAGCACTAGGAAAGGTACGAGAACTTTACGGATGCAGCTGTACCCGCCCAAGCACAGCGGAACGAAGTAACACAAAGACAGCACAAGTGAGCTGATACCCGTAAATGTGTTTCTTCATTGCATTTTCCCACCAAATTATGGACGGGCACAAAGTTAAGGCCTCCCCCTCCACTCTCTCTTCAATGCCACTTCGGCTCCTATTCGTGGTTCGGGATTGCCCAGGAAACGAAATCCCGGCCACCGGGGGGGTTACACTTCCAACAGGAATCCAGGCCTGCCTGCTATCCGCTCCGAGTGAGCCTCGGGGGTATGTTCTAAGATGTAAGTTAGCATACCGGTATACACTCAGCAATTCCCGCTTATTCCATTGGTTGACATACCTTTCCAGGCGGGATAATCATCTAGACATCGGCACCTATCCGCTAGATATATGATTGTGCTGAACAGTCTACCGCAATCAGGAGAATCGGATGCGGGTGGGCACTACTCGAGTATAGTACCTGTCAGGTTCAAAAGTATTCGGAAATGGTCATTGGGCCTGGCGCCGAGAGCTCATGCATGGTTGGGAAGGAAACAGCTGACTGACTAATGGAGACAAAAAGAGAGTACGGTACTCGAGTAAAGCAGGATTAATTTTAGTGGTGTGGAGTTATCCCATCTACTATATATTTAGTCGGAAATAAATCTTGCTTCCGCTGTCTGGTTCCTTACCGTACCTCTTCTTATTATCACGCACAATGGTGCATCATATCTTGGTATGACAAGAAGTGGGGGTGAAGCGAGCGGAAGGCTTACCACCTGCACTTTCTCGGGGCTACCGTATTGGCGCCAAGGCCACCGACCCAATCCCAGAATACTTTTGAATCTGGCAAGCAGCAGTTGGTACCGCTCTTTTGGAGTGATAGGCGGTGATCATTTTTATGGTATTGAAATTGAACTATTTCACCGCCCACGATGCCGCTCTAATCGCAATATCAATGTGAAAAATGCAGCATAAGATATCCAATTACAGAGAATACCGGTACCGTACCAACTTGCCTTTCCTTTGTTAAAACCAGGTCGGCATAACAAGGATAATAAATTTATACAAAGTGAATACTTCACCCAAAGTCCCCTGGCCACATTTCACGCATCAATTCAATATAATTTATTTATCCTTGTATCGCCGACCCGGCATCAAAAAATCACCCCTGGCACCAAGCACCACAGCAGCACACCACTCGGGCGGTAGAGTCCGGCTCACACCCTCCTATCCCGATAATGGAAGCTTAAATCAACACACATCGTGTTCCCACACATTCCCGCCCGTCTCTCCCTGCCCCACCATATCTCTGCCGCAGCACCCCCCCCCTTCTTCCTCTCCCTGCCCTGCCCTCACCATTTTGTTAAAACAAATGCCTATCGTATTTACCGGAATAAATGAACCTCGCGCTGAGACGTCCAGAATCCCCCTTCTCTTGGACAGGGGGGGCGGAAGCACTGCGGCTTGTAAAGCCAATCTCCTCGGCCTCAGCGAAAGACAAAGAAACGTAAAAATGTGCCACACCCCACTAGCAAAGGATAGTCTAACGTCCTCGGGTGAGGTTCAAGTATTCCAGTACGGTAGACCAAATAGTTTTATGGTAAAAGTATCGTATTTGCCTCGCCAAGCGATTACACGTAGCACTGCTACCCTATGGGGGGTTCACAGCTCGATAGAACGGATCGCTGCTATCAAAGGTGGTTTCATATTCTTAACAGCGACCTCCGATGAGCCGTCCTATTCGATTGTCGCCGCCACGGTAGTACCGGTACTCAGGGATGGTCATAAAGGGCAATTCTGCTTACTTCCCTCCCGAGATGAGAATTGAAGGTTCTGAAGGGCTGCTCAGGGTTGCAAACAATTTCTATGGGGCCAAACTTCATGATTCTTACCTCACACTACCTGAGCATCCTCCGCCTGTTCGTAAGATAATTCACTGGGTATCCCTCCCGGTTACTCATGTCAACCAGGCCTTGTCTTCCTTTCCACTGATATTAAACAGTTGCCCGCGACCGCATAGGATCTTGCTGATCCTTCTTCCGCCCTTTATTACTATTCCCGAGTACCGTAGCGCTGTATGATTACCGGATTGTTTTAGTATTTAATCAGAGCGTTAAAATCAGGATTGATTGACCCCAAAGTGTTGTGGTGTTTGATGGTGTGCGGTCAGGGCTGTGACACCGTATTCGGAGCAATAGACAGCCGGACAGGGTTCATTGTTGGACTGGACACCTGGTGTGCTCCCCACCGAATTGATTGGACGAGTGTGGATGCGCTAGTACTTGTAGGTACGGTGCATTTTGATTTGCGAAATTACCTGAATGCCATAACACCATACCGGTAACACCGGTCATGGCCAGGACACAGTGCCAACCTCGTATCGAGGAGTAACACGGTGGCCAATAAGAATCCAGGGAAAAGGCAATTCAGAATCATTGTTGGGGACTTTTGCACCGTATCTCTGACTAACCAGGCTTGTTAGCCAAGCTCATCGCAAATTGTTATCGTGCCCGAACCGGACAATTACGGGAATGAGGAAAGGCATTCTTCAAGGCCCACACCGCAGGTCTAATACTCGAGTATACGAGTAGGGTACGGTACTACTAGCCGATTTAAAAAGTATTCGGACACCTTGGCGCTAAGCCTCATACAAATTCGCGGCTGGTGTCCGAATACTTTTTAAATCGGCTAGTACAGTTACCCGTTCACGAGTACTGTACGGAATACGAGTACGGCACATTATGCATGCCTTCGTGCTCCGAATCTCCTACTCGTACCAACCGCAGGCCCCCCAACCCACCACAAGCCAAGGAGAATCCCGAACAGGACCAATCTGAACCAGCTTGCCCTTGGTTGGTGCCAAGCTGAAATGCCGGTAGCCTACTAGGGCAAGGGACGTTGGCGACAGGACAGCCAAGGCCTCCGGAGGCCTAATCTTACTGCTCGAGGAACGATTCCGGAGTGATTATGCTTCTCACAGCATCAATCGGCCACCCCAGTCAGCAAGACTGAGGGGAAGGATAATGGACCTTGAAACCAAAGATCGTGCTACTCGAGTAGCCTGTAAGTACTCGTACCGTATTTCTAATCAATTTCGATGGATCCGTGCGAGCGGGTCGCGTGCTACTTGTATACTCGAGTACCGGTATGCGCCACTCGAGTACTCACAGCAAGTTAAAATGAGCACTGAGCTGAATCTTGATTTGGCAAGGCTTGTCTACCCTTGCTGCTGCGGGCTGCGGTGGAGGACGGTAAAGACTGGAATAACTGAGAATCTTGCAAGGACGTTGGAGTTGCCTCATAGAGTAAGGCATATTGTATTTTTTTTCCCTTTTACTTGTCTCAATCCGTGGCTTGAGGGGAATCCTCACGACTCGTTTTAGAACCGGCACTCGAGTACTCAGCTAACGGTATCATAACCGTTATTGTTCTAGTGCGGGTCGAGCAGGGAGGCATCAGCCCAGCGTTGAAAAAAACGTTTATGCAAGCTTTATTGGTTAAAGGACCGTGCGAGCAATGGCTTTTTGTGCTCGTGTATCTGCACTCGAAAAAGGGACCTTTTCGCCCGGGGCTGAATGCCCGTACTCGAGTACACGTGTAATAAGCGAGTTCGAAATCAATACTCGAGTACGGTACTAACTTAGTTACTGAAGTTGATTTCATGGAGTGCCCCTCATTTTCTCAGCCCCGGCTAGCTACTCGAGCACCGGTATCATACTCGAGTAGAGGTGATGGCGGATGGCAGTGCGCATGGTTGGGAGATTGGAGCATAAATGGATGGTTCAATATGAGACGATATGATAACAGGTTTTCTTTCCTTTTTCCTATTCTTAACTTAGGACACTTGGGATATCAGTGAATGTCTCATAGGGTAACTTCCCTGCATCCCTTACGTTATGGAGGATTGGTCCGGGGAAGGCGAGCGAGCGCCCCCAACTGACAAGTCCTTCCATAACTCGTTCAGGAGGAATGGATGGAGGGGCAACCACTTTGCTGGCACCGTGCACCGCCCGAAATCGAAAAGCAAAGGCTTAAATCTATTTTTCTTTCAAGTTACGGCCTCCCTGTACGTTATGTTTCACGGGGCGCATATGGGGTGTGTGATGAGCCTAAAATGTGTTGGGTGTTTGGCTGGATCAAAAAAAAAAAATTTATGATGAAAGCTTAAATATCCACCACCTCCCTTTCAAGCTCTCGTCCCATTTTCAACCACCCAGTCTTGCAGAACCTCATACCTTGGGAAGTCCAACACCTTACGACCCAAACTCACCGATCCTCCCGATACACAGTTTTCACGAGTCCCACTACCAATCAATCACAATGAGAACTGCCATCTTCATCTCTTTCCTCATTTCCATCATCGCATTCATGACTACACCGATCGTCGCGTCCGCTATCGACCGTCGTGCACTGTTCGAGGGACAGCCCGATATTGTCGTTCGCTCGCCAAAGGGCAAGACCAAGTCTAGCAAGAGCAGCAGCACTGAGGAGGAGGGAGCACAAGGTTGATTCCATCTCTAAAGATCCTTGATCTCTTAACAAGTGCTGACAATATTCTCCAGCGTCCGGAACACCAAGCTTTGGCTTGCCAAACCACGTCGCGCAACTCACCACCGTCGGCGCTGTTGGCGCAGCGGCAGTCGCGTTCTTGATCTAAATGTGGGGGGATAAACGATTGTAGTTGAGATTGAATCGAGTTGAATTGGCTTGGATTCTGGCATGTTTTCTCGTCTATCATACATCGTCTGTTTGATAGATATATCTTTTTTTGTTAGAGCGCTGTTTATTGACGGGATGGGGAATGGGAACGTACTACTTTACCACGACTTTAGGTTCTTGCGATGGAAACATCTTTAGTTAATAATCTACCCATCGGGAAACTACTCTACATGCGACTCTCTGAACTCTTTTGATGCTATTCCAAATTCTTGATAATATTATGCTATCTGTCATTATGTGCCGCACAGTGTCATGAGGTCGCGAAATCCCCATCTCCCTTCTGTGAGCTTGCCAGGGCTATTTTGGGGCAGGGCCCGTGACTCGGCTTGCATCATGGATCGTGCGATACCGGTAGGCAAAAAGGTACCTGTATGGGAGAGAATACCCGTAATAGTTAACCGGGAGACACGGATGGAACCTCACCCGCTTTTCTCGCGCTCCCACCGTCTAAACACCGGTAGGAAAGGTCCGGCAGCGGAGCAATAATCCCTTAAGAGGTACCAAGCGCGAGAGAGCACGGAAACCTTCGAGACACGGAACTGACAATTGAAGTAGGGGCCAGCCAAAACCCAACCCGCCCCAAATCACCAGAGTATTGAAGGACCTAGGGGCAGAAATACCGGTACGGTACTCGAGTGGAAGCTGTCATACTACAACTTGGCATTGCTTGCAGCTACGACATTACCCGTATCACCGATCGGTACCCATGCGTGGTACCGGTAGGAGCGTCCCCACTAAAAAAAACGTCAAGTGGAGAGTTCGTGTCGCACAGACATCGGTATGATACAAGATACTTTATTTGATATGACCTCTCCCTTTCTACCAAACCCCAGGACAGTCCCTCATTACCAGTTGCATGGCGAGAACAGACACATATTTTTTTTTACCATGAGACAAAGAAACGGCTGAGGTGAAACCTACTATTGCGTCAAAATCTGATCCCCAAAAGGTTTAGCCTTGACTTTACAGCATCGTAAAATCTTTGTATAATTGGCTATCCCCGTGGTAGGGGTTACAGTAATATCCGTATTCAGAGACAAAACACCTTAAGGATTGGGGATTATCGGTAGTATTTTCCTCACGCGGTGAAGTCATGAGTTTGCTGAGTTGGTTGGATCTTAAATTATCAACTTGTAATACCAACTCTACAGTAGCAACCTATCAAACTAGACCTATCGTGGGTGGACTGGAGATTAACCCCTGCTACAGAGATGGCCAATTATATACCGGTACGAGACTTTACAATACGGTACAGAGTTGGTGTATGGAGCTTTACAGCGATTTCGAGATCAAAAACAGGAATAAAATCTTGTTCGAACATGTACCTTATTCCTCCTTTCCTGATCAGTGTAAATTGCCAATGTTGCTCTGGTTAGAGCTACTGCATGAGCACAACACGAGCGCCCCTTGTCCCACCGCCGAACCCCCCCCCAACCTGCCCCGGCGGAGCTTAATTTTACTGTGCTCCGCCAGGGTGTGAGGAGAGATACGATAGAGGTGCGGAATGCGTGCTACCGGTACCCTTAGCGAGGATGTCTTAAGTCAATTACATCATGAAGACTTGTAATTTTCCTTTACAAATAGGATACTGGAAAAAAGGCGACCACGCTGTGAGTACAATGGTCACGGGGGGTCCAGCCTACTACTGTAAGGTTTCTTGGAATGGGGATTCTTATGTCCCTCAGCGCACGGGGCTGGCGCTGGGGAAAGATGATCAGCGTAACTTAAATGTTTTCCACTGAAAACAGCCATATTCACAACCTCCCAATCACTGATCCAGTGGGGCAATTCAAACCAAATCTTCATCTGTTATATCAAGAGAGCCATGGTTGGCACATTAGTCTTGGCGTAATTTCTGATAATTTTGCTTGCGGAATGGCGAGAGACTTGGCCCCGTTCCGAACTTCAACTTTATCATTGTATGCCAAAATATTGTAATAATCTGTGAGCACTTGGGGAGGATCTTAGACCATACAGCCAATTTCCCCCCAATTTTTTTACAGCTTCAAAACGTATTGCACTAAGAGCGTGAAGTCGCATCGTTTGTGCTCTCATGATACACGCCATACTGCTCTCCATTTTGTCACCAACCTCATACTTGTATGATACTATACCAGCTTCCAACGGCTTCTACCTTCCAAACACGGTACGCAGCGTGGAGACGTAAATATCATACTATGGGAACGAAGCTAGAAAGGAAACACCACCCCCCTGCCCTTACAGTACCGTACAGTACTTCTTCATACCCCTCTCTCGCAATACTAACATTGGCACGGTTAGCAATTTTCTACAGAATACCGGTACGGGACCCTTCTCCAGATCAAGCCAAGATCCCATGAAGCTTAACCCCACCTAAAAATAGTTCCAGACCCTTACATATGACCACACCTCGTTTGGCGCGAAGCTTATTCCATCCAGTCCTCTTCCCCACTCTGTTTCGGCGATCTTATTTACAGTACGAGAACGAGTATTAGGCTGATTGAGGATAGATGCACGAAACATGCGCGCGCCTCAGCGTATGATACCATACTTGTACTTCCTTATCGCCAAGTGTGTGCAGCGCCTGTCCTGGAGGGTCGAAGTGTGGGAGGGTTGTTCTGCGTCCTCTGCTGGCGCACTGGAATGTATCAGCACCCTATTTGGTGATTTGCATAGGGCTGAGGCGGTGGGAGTCGTCTGTGGTGTTATGCAATGTTGCAAGGAAGGGGGGGTTGGATCAAAAAAACGATCGAAGGGCTGGAACGCGCTTTTTCGAACCGGGGGGTTACAAGAAGATAGAACCCCTTCTGACAAAACAAAAAAACAATGACATTTGAAGCGAGTTGAAGGCAAAGAAACAAATTAAAATACAGTAAGAAAGTAGAAAATTCCTAAATATCCCGCAAATATCCTTTGGTTGCTTGAAGAACCTCACGCTGCATAACCTCATTGATTTTATCACCTTTCAAAAACTCTGCAATAACGGAAAAGAAATCCTCCTCATCCTGAACCCATTCTTGCCCATGTGTCCAGGTGGGATTGTACACCAAATCTGAATGCTGATCGAACAAATCGTCTAGTGTCCAAATAAAATACTCATCAAGCTCATCTTGTAACATGGGATTGGGCATGTCATTCAGCCAGTGGCCCGCTTCCCTTTCAAAGTCCTCCGGTGAGAGAATATCATCGTCCTCAAGCATAATTGCTGGAGATGCAGATGGAATGGCTGGGGATTCCAATAAAATAGTGTCATCCCGAGGTCTACCAAGTGGGGATGGCACTTGTAGAGTACTGGAAGGCCGTCTCCTGACTGGAAGTTCTCCTATAAGCCTTTGTTGAAACCGTAAATACTGTTTGTAATTGGTATGAGTACTTGGTTATTGGTTGTATTTTATGTTTTGTTTTAAGTATTACTTTGATATTCAGTTTGTTTTAAGTATCGTTTGATACTTGGTTTTGTTTTACGTTTTAAGTATTGCTTTGATACTTAGTTTGTTTTAAGTATTGTAAGTATCACTGTGATACTTGATTTTGTTTTATGTTTTGTTTTAAGTATCATTTTGATACTTAATTTGTTGTACCAAAGTGTATTCCTTGATACCTTTAATTAGTTTCATTTATGCTAGACATAAACAGATTTGTTTATTTAGAGACCGCCTGATTCCACGATGGAAAAGGCAGACTTCGACAGACAGTATTTTAATATACTTAGTTGAATAGTTGCTCTTTAAGTTTTCCCGGTACACCTCTAAACCCTCATTTAGTTCTCAGCTCTCGCCTTCTTTCTGGTAGAGTAGGCTATCTGCCAACTATTGTACCTATTACAGATACCGTAATTAGCACATTGCAAACACATTACATGTTTTTAAATCCCGCAAGTGGTTAAGATCCTGTCTCCAGATTTAGGCTTAATCAACCTATCGACATTCACCTCAGAATGCTAGCGGAGAGAAGGGGCAAAATCACAGTACATTCAGCTTCATCTCAACAGTACTGGAGAGTCTTTGACGACCAGGAGTGGGAAACAGATCCCACTGCAAGACCTTATAAGGAAGAAACAATACCGATACGGTGCTAAAGAGCCAGAAGAATCTACAAACACAGATGTCTGTCACGAACATGGCTTGGCATGGAACAGGTTTTCATGTGACACATGGTTATGAGTTACAGGTATGTTATTGTTTCACACATATGACTCATTCGAGTCATATGATTTATTATGTGTGGGATTTATGATGCTTTTGCACATGCCTCAAATATGAGTCATGGGACGTACCCCTGGCGAGTATGCCTTGCGAGTGTGCCTTACAGGTATGCCTTGCGCATATGATTTATGTTTTGTACATGACCTCATTATAAGTTCATGGGTTTCACGCATATGACTGAGTTGAGTCATATGACTTGTTTATTGTGTTATGATTGGTTTATGAGCTTTCGCACATGACCTCGCTATGAGGTCATGGGTTTCGAGCAGGTGACCACTTTGGTCACATGACTAGTTTGTTATGATTTGGTTTTGCACATGTGACCACTTTGGATCACATGACTACGGGAGCGAAGAACACTATATAAAGAGGCCGATGTGGCCGAGGGAGATAGGTTCTTCACGCTTTGTTCTAAGTACTTTTCCAACTTCATGCCATCGCTTCGCCCCAAGCGTTTCTTTTGCACTCATGATGGGCCTTGATGCCTTGGATTGTGGGGGAGATATCTGAGTTTGCTCAGTAGTTCCTGGGGTCTTTGGTATTGAGGCCTGTTAGGTATTGCGTGGCGGATTACTTGTTTGCTTCTCGTTTCATGGTCTGATGGCTTCTCACGATGCTGTCACTTCGAGCTCTTCATCATAGTCGCGTATGAGCCCCTTTCGGTAAAGTTTCTTTGGCTTCCTGTCTATCGTCTACTCGCAGGGTTCGCATTCGATTGGGGAGGATTGAACTTTGTATATAGCGTGATCACCCGTGTTGTTCTTTGGGCCAGCTCATGTTTTTTGTTGGGTTTTAACAGAGACCTTAGTTCTCACGATACAAAATGCCCTTGGGTTAGACTGATGACCTTCCCAAATATCAACTTGTCGTACCGGCCACATCATTCCTCAGGTGGCAGGGTGGTACCCGCCCAGTCCCTCCTCGTTACATTTTCGTTTCTACAGTCGGAATCCTACTATGTTGTTTATCACCGTTCCCTAGGAAGTT